GTTTTTGCTGACTTATGTCCACCGAAGATGGCTGGTGGGCAATGCCTTCAGCTTGCTGGCTGGCTGCTGGCTGGCTGCTGGTTGGCTCGCTGGCTTGCCTTTCTTACTTTGCTTTGCTTTGCTTTGCGTTGCTTTGCTTTGCTTTGTTATTGTTGAGGCTGTTTGTTTGCCTCTCTGTCTGTTTGTCTGGCCGTCTGTCTGTCTCTTTGCCTCCCTGTGATCGGTGGAAGGGGCGGCAGTTTGCCAATCTTCAGCCAGGACCTTTTTGTTGCTTTGCATCAAGTCGCAGACGCGGTCAGTCATTGACAAACAACATGTTTAATGCTCCTTGCATGGCCCCCATGCGTTCAGTCAGCTGGTTTTTGAACTTGCCGAGAAAACAACGCAGGATGCCGTATAGCTCAACATGTAGAATTTACCCAAACGGAAATCAACACGTATCCAGAGCCCGTGTTTGGCACCCAGAGAGGTGTCAACACAGAAGGTGTTGGCCCCCTGACTTTTCGCCACGACAGCTCGCATCGCCAGGAGATGACCCAAAAGAACGCTGCCACGGGCAAGGTGCGATCCATAAGACGCGCTGGCAACGTTTGATGCCAATGCTGCAGGCCAGGGGCCTTTACCTTGCTTGGCGCGCAAGCCAAAGGTCTGGTTGCAAATCCAAGGCTAGCCCCAATGCTTGACACGTTTCACGCATTGCTTCTTTGCAAAGCCTGTCCATGTTGCATGGGTTTGCGGTCATTTGTCAAAAAGACGGGTGGAGGAAGAAAGGAACATGCAATTGCAGCTGGCAAATTCCCCTGCAAGCCTTTCGAAACAGGGTTTATGCGTGGTATTGCGTGGTAATTGGGAGGGCCTGTCAGCCTCTTTGACGTAGCCCTGACAGGAAGCCCAAAGGGCCCAAATAGGCCCTAATGCTATGCTTCAATTGCTTGATGGTGTTTTGTTTTGTTTAAGTAAATATTTCAGCCATACACTGACTGGATTCGATGCTCCTGCATGAGGGCTCCAAATGCAGGAGCCTGGTCCCATGACCTTTCACACATGCAGTGCGTTTTCTCCATTTATTCAGAATGCACGGAGGTAAGGTGCGGCAGGCTTGAACCTTGTTTGATGGCGGCAGAGCAGTGGCAAGTTTGAGAAAAACATGACACGTAGCTGGTTTCCAAGCAGTCTGAATATTGAGAGGGAGACTCCTGGCACCACCTGCGAAAGACTGCGTCGTTTCCATTGAAAAGTCATGCTTATAATATCTCTTTGGTGCCTCATAGCAGCCACCTGGCAGTCAGTGTGAGGATCGCTTCCACAATCATATTTGTTGGGTTCCTATTTTTCCTTTGTGGTCTCTGGGCAAAGTGGTTTTGGAAGGAGCCGGGAGATGGTGGGGAAAGGAAGTCCGGTTTGGCTGCATTCAGATCTGCTGTGGTGAAGTCAGGGTGCTGCTCAACCCTGCAGGCTTCCAACAGCCTGAAACCCTTTGAGGGCATGGCAAAGCAGCGAAGTCGTAGAGCTCCCGACTACCCCGCTGAGCCTTCAGTCTCCACTTGGTCTCATCTGGCCAAAAGTCGTAGCTGGGAAATAGGAGGGATCCCAGCGGGGTTTGCTTGGGAGTGTGTGACAGAGGTGTGTATATGGGTGCCTGGCTTGTTGGAGGGCCCCTCAACCTAAGCAAAGCAGCGCGGGTTGCGATTCATGAATTACGATGTGTCCCATCCTGATTTATTGGCGAGCTGACATTCCTGCTGGGCACCTATCGGGAGGTGCCTGCCTCTTGGGTGGTACTTCCAAAGATCTGCCTCCAAAGGAGGCTCCTCTGAAGCCCGGCGCGTTTCAGAGAGAATAGTTTCAAACTTGAGTTGATTGGATATGTCTCTGTTGAACCCCGAGTAGCTGGTCAAGGTCTGAGTAGAGCTTGTCAACCTCCTTGGTTTGGTAGGGTCCAAGCAATCTGGGGAAAAAGTGAGGTCAGTATGATGCAGGTCCTTCACTTCAGCCTTTAGCAACGCGGCTCCTTCCACCGTTGTACCGGTGCGCGTCTCACATGTTTCAATTTTCACCCTTTCATCAGCACTGGTGACTCGGGCGATGGTTCCAGAGCTGGAGAGTAATTGCATCCGGTTGCCAGGGGCTTAGCGGCTAATCGACCCTGGGCGTTTTCCGCTTTTGCAGCTTTGATCAAATCCGGCAACACTGCCGAGCTAGACATAGCCAATTGGAGGCTAAATCGAGCGATCTTACCCATGATGATCATTCTTGTTTGGGGCCCAGCCCTTGATTGTCAAATGCTTTCACTTTCAAGCGGAATTTCTGCCGAATGGCTTCAAATGAGATGCCAGAGCAAACACCGATTTATTTAGGCACCTCCCACAATGCCAAGCGTTCGTTTGTGCATCTCCGGCAGTAGGCATGATTTGTCAGCATCCCCCCTATGCATGGAGACTCACTTGGGGAAAAACCAGCTCATCATCATGTTGGTCCTGGCAATCCCTCAAATGTCAGGTTTGGAAATCATTATGAAGTTTGCAGATAGGTAAATTCCCGGAACAAAAGAAGAATGCAAGCAGGCTTGTGCAAGCTGTGTCCTGAATCGGGTTGGCACTTCCCAAGCGGCCCTGCCCAATTGGAAACTCACAATAGGAAATCATTCAAATTTTATACTGTGCATGTGTCCAGCCGTTGGCCTACCCCCCTCTAGACCATTAAGGCGCGTTTTGAACCTTCATGCCCAATGTGCTGACAATTTACTCTTCAGACTTACCAGTTCATGTTTATGGCTTCCTGAGATTTGAATCGCATGGCTTGCTGCTTATTTTTTCCAGTTCCAGGGTGCCAAGTGCAGCGGAAGAGCATCGCCTGCTGACACCTAATGCTGATGCTAAGCCTCTTTGGTTGGGTAATGCCTCCCTTCCAGCTCAAACTGAGCGGCGAGAGCATGAGCAACTGTGAGAGTTACCGCCTCGCTTTGGGGAAGCGAATTATACACATTCGACTTTAGCCCTGTGAACTCACATGGATTTGTGGGTTGTGCCTCTTTTCACCAACGATACGCAGGAAGAACCCTGATATCATGTGTGGGCGAAGAAAAATACCAAGTTTATTCATTGCCTTCTGTTGCCGTTTCAGCTTCTTGTTGTTTTGTGTTCTCATTCAACACGCCCTTGCGTTATTCGCAGTTTTTTTCATTGTTGCACACTTGGCTTTCCTACTTCTTGAAGCGGACAATCTCACTCCTTCTTTCTCGTGCACCCTTGTGCACACATGCATGCTAAGTGATCAGCCCGCCAAGGACTCCTACTCCTCCAACTCCTCCGCCTCCTCCTCCTTCTCCTCCTCCTCCATCGTCATCATCATCATCGTCAACATCATCATCATTACCATCATTACCATCAACACCATCATCACCATCACCAGCATCATCATCATCATCATCATCATCACCATCACCATCATCATCATCATCATCATCATCATCATCACCATCACCATCATGATCATCATGATCATCATCATCATCATCATCATCATCATCATCATCATCATCATCATCATCATCATCATCATCATCATCATTGTCATTGCCATCATCATCATCATCATCATCATCATCATCATCATCATCATCATCATCATCATCATCAACATCATCATCATCATCATCATCACCATCATCATCATCATTGTCATCATTGTCATCATCATCATCATCATCATCATCATCATCATGATCGTCATCATCATCATCATCATCATCATCATCATCATCATCATCATCATCATCCGAACCGTCCTCGTCATCGGCATCATCCTCATCGTCATCATCACCGCCAGCAGCACCACAAACTTACAAGAACCAAACAGCGAGGGTTCGCTTCTGTCAGATGGCCACTGGGGCAGCCAAGTCCCCTTTCAGACAATGCTCGGAGCAGAAGCTCATGCTGGGGATGGCGAAAGACATCTCGGCGCACCCGGGGCTCGTTTATGAGCGCCGTGCGTCCCTGAAGGGATCCGATGACATTTCTACCTTGTGGCCCGTGCTGGAGCCATTCGGGCAAAACATGCGCAGAGAGAAAGCTAAAATGTACCCAATGGCTGTGCCGATCTGGCTCTGCCAATAGAAATGAACAGCTCTAAATCGAGTGTATACAGTATATGCTTCAAGTCATCGCTCACCATGGCAATTTGTTAGACAGAGAAAGCACGATGTCCAAACTACAGGTAAATCACGCAACTTCTGGGTGGAAAGGAATCATTGAGAATTGAGCTTCTAGTTGCATCAGGGCCGACCCATTCAAAGGCAGGCAGGGACACTCCAAGTGGCACTTCAGGAACACCAATCCTACATGACTTTTTTCAAGGAATAGCCTCTGACATCTTTACAGCTGTCCAATGTAAACAAGGTTGACCGTCTTCCGTCGTTCGTTCAGCTTCTCGAGAGCTGGGCGAAACCGCCGCCCCTGCCCCCGGGTTGACAATTTGTCGCTCTACACAAATCTGCCATCCTGCCATTTATGCATCTGAGCAAGAACCTGTTCAACCGGTGTTGGATATGCACTGGCAGAGAAGGGCACTCTTGCTTTCCTTACATTGCAGTTCCAGGTGTAGGTGACCATTTCGGCTAGTTGGTACGCGGATAGCATTCCTGATCAGGTGTGCGGGATTAGAAGCCTGAGTCCCACTCGCTTGAGGGGAGCATGCAGCAGGGTTGGGCCATCAACCACGAGAGAGAGCCATGAAAGCTAGAATCACACGTTGAGCCTTGGGCGGCCTTCACAAGCCTTTGGTTGTCATCGCGCCTTTGCGTTTCGTGCCTTTGGCTTCAGAAGGACACACTTAGGGCCATGAAGCCCTCCATATATGCCATATGCCACGGGTTCATGAACCATGGTAGCTTCCTCCACGGGTGGTGTCCTCCCGACAGGTTTCTTTTTGCGTCGAATTGACGGCGTTTTGGCAGGACCCACCAGCAAGCAGGCCACAATCCATGGGCAACACTTTTGGCCTAGGAGATCATTTTTGGGTTCCCATGGTCAGAGCAGCTTCTGGCATACACGCGCGGGAGGTGAGCGGAGGGGCGATGCAACGGCGCGCGAGGAAGATGGCACACCCAAACACTCAAGCCAGAGGGTGGGCTCCAGAAAGGTGGAGAAGGCAATGCACACATGCTGCGAACGGCAAGTGTTTTCTCGAGCAACGCAACGGGCATGCCCCAAGAGTGTAAAGATGACTTCAACCCAAGGATCGAGCATGGTTTTGGTGTTCCTTTCGTTTCCGCTGCGCCAGGGGGAGGGAGCATTGGCTATTTTCAGGGCGTCTCTGAGCATTCTATGATTTTGCCGCTTCTGAGTCTAGACCTGTGCTCCGAATGGGAGACACGTGCACACTGCCATCCCTCACATGAATGTGCAATAATGTGCATTTGCACTCCTGACAAATCCCGAGTGTCTGAGAGGATGTTATTTAGAGGGGTATTCATGACGCAACCCGCATAGATTGCCGGATTTGGCCTCCAGGCCGGACAGCTGCTAAGCCATGGCCAGGCGTGGAGATGTTTTGTTGCTCACAGGATTCTACCTACCCATTCTACACTCCTTGTTTTGGGTGGGTTCACCGGGTTCCATGGGCCGACAAAGTCATGGTCCACTTTTCCTGACACCGCTGGACGCTTGCGGTTTGCAGCGCAGACGGATTTTGTTTTATCGTCTGCATTGCTGCCTTTTTCCCTCGGGACTAGAATGTGTTCTTGCCGGAGGCATGGGCGTTGGGTTGGGTGTACCCGCAGTCAAGTGCCCACGTGTTTTGCATTGACCTTCCATTCTCGAATCCCAAAAGCTGGCCTCAAACACGACTTGCTTGGGAGGGGCAGGGTGGCAAGATTGGCGCAAGAACGGGTGTGACAGTGCGCGGCTGGGGTTTGGACTCCCTGTCCGAGCGCCGCATGCACGACCTTCAGCCGGTGCAAGTTGCCCAGACGCATCCCTTTCTGGCAAGCAATGCTAGCCCTCGGTCTGCTTTCTCTGAGGTGTTTCGCGTAGGCCCGTGTTGAGACAGGTGCCCTTTTTGTAGCAGATGCTTTACTGGCACCATCATGTCCAATCGCCAAGTCGGATGATATCTGAGTATATTTGGCGCCTTGACTTACGCGGTTGTCCGTAAACACATTGCCACCTGCGAATGCAATAACAAGTTCAACGTCAGTCAGCACTGCACACCTGTGCTCCTTGTGAGTGTCTCAGGCAGTGGCAGCAGTGGCAACAGTGGCAATGGCGGTGCACCAAGTCAGCTCATCCGTTTCAGGCCCTTGAAGCCTTGACTTTGGAAGGCCGTTTTGCAGTTTGAACGCGTTGGATTCTCCAGTGTTCTCCCATTGACAAAAGTTGGCCCGGGGGTTCTAGCCTGGTCCACGAAGGAAGCAGGGCCGTTGCTGTTTGGGCTGGCCAGCCGTTGTATACCATGGATTTCGCCTCAGCAAAAAGAATTCAAGTGCAAATCTGCGCTGTGAATTTGAAGTTTTGGAGCCTGGTTGGATTTTACATTTTACAAATGTTTGGGAAAGCACCCGGATCTGGTCAGCTGGCTTGAATCAAGCTCCATTTGCAAGTTCTTTCTTACCCTTCAAGCATGCCATTCTGACCCTTTTGTTTCTTCAAGCACGGCTGAACATAACAGGGACAGCCTTCTTAAAGGCAGCTGAAACTGCATGGGCCCACACGATCGCAAAAGGCTGCGTGGTTCAACATCAATCCGCAAGATCCTTTTGCCGGATGGTCGTGGTTTCCATGTTGTAGTGCCCGCCGCGGAGGAGCTATGCATTTACTAAATTACGGATATCATGGATGCCCGCCCCCACCCCCCCACACCGGCCCGGAGTTGTTCACTGACCTAGGAGAAGAGAGCCTTTTTCTGGTTGACCATATTTAGTGGGCAACCGTGCAAGCAGGCCATCAGAGTTTTTGTGAGGAACCTGCAGGGATTCATGATGCCTTCTTGGCTGATCGGCTCATGTTCGGTGCAAGTTGCCAAGGTGGGGTGGAGATACTTGGCCTGGGGCTAAGGCGTAGCAACTGGGGACCAATATGGTCAGGAAGCATTTCTGGGATCGCCGGGATCGCACTGAAGCCCTCACAATGAATGGCCGGGTTTCAATCCAGTCCAAAGCAAAGTGACCCATGTGGCTGGGGATGGCCTTAAATGCGGCCACAAGGATGGGAACAAAACACATTTTGCTAAGTATTTTGTCCATATATTCATTCAACTCCGGTTCAGCACGTGAAGGACATGTAGTTCATCGCCTTTTTTTTCTCCCCGACATAGTTCCGGTGTCACCGTCCGGCGAACTTGCACAAAGCCTTGTGACCGGCTTTGGCTGTGGCGCCTGTCAGCATGCAATGGCATGCACTTGGTGCGGATTGAATCTGCCAAGTGGTGCTTCTGTTCTTTCTCAGATATATGCGCGTCGCCGCCAACTTGCGCTATCCCAAGTGTTGACTACAAATGATTGTTACACAATTCTTCAAACGAAGTCACCGCTTGCTTGCCCATACGCGCACACAAGACAGGTGGCGCAGCAAGGGCATGTCGTCCAGCACATTGCTTTAGGCAAATACGATTCAGTGTTTGGCAGCTGCCATGAGCTGGAGGGAGTGCACCTATCTTCACGAAACGATCGCATCGTCAAGCTTGCTGATGGCGTTCCCCAATGTGAATTGCGTCACTCTGTCATGGCCGTGTCAGAGCTTCGCAGCAGGAAATGTGAGTGGCTGGAATGATGAAGTCGTCCTTCGCATGAATCGCAACTGGTGCCTGAACATGCGGATGCCTGAGAATACGGACTGGCACCCTGAGCACCTTGCGCATTTGCCTGCACATGAATTGCCAGGGACAATGACGACGGACTCGAAATGTCGCGACCTGGCGCCATCATCCAGCATTTGGTGACACCTGGCATTGCTCTCAAAGCTGTTACTGTTTGAAGGTACGAGTTTCGCAAAGCCAAAACTTCTATTGTGACTCATTGTCTTGCCATCCCAACTTGACGATATGTGTTGTTCACACGTACCATCGCCTGGACGCTCCATCACATTTTATGATGAGGGTCCTATACGTTGCTTGCGGGTTGATTTGAACACCTTTTGGTTGCCACATTTCACAGGGACTCATGTGGGATCATTTGGGGGCAATGTGTCAAAGGTACATCCAGCATTCCGTGCTGTCATCTCAAGGTCTGAATGTGCGAACCCATAGGTCGCCCTTTAGGTTTCAACCCGGAGTTTGCTTGACTGGGCACTATGTATGGGTAAGCAGTCGGCCTTACTTGTTGACAAACCAGTCGCGAAAGGAGTCTCCAATGGCCGTGAGGTTTATGGGTCCGGGTCCATAGCCTTTTGTGAGCCAGAGGTCATGGACAACCAGCCGGTCCTGGCAGGACGGTTTTCGGAAGGGCGCTGCTTGGTGGGTTCCCTCTTTGTTTGGTGAATTTCCCTCCTTGTTTTGCGGGTGTGCCTTTTTGCTTGGTGGGGTTCCCGTTTTTGTTTGGTGGCTCCTTTTCGGTTGTATGGCACCTCTGGCCTCCTGGCCTCCTGGCCTTTGAGCCGAATGGCGGTTCAACGGGTCCCCATTGAACTGGGAGCAGGCTCCCTTCTGTTTGGGTGGGATCCTCGTTTCGGCGGCCATCACGATCACCCTTGCAAGAAAGAGCTGGTATTTGACTCTGGCACATTATGCCTCAAACATGCTTGCCTTGCAATTGCGACAGGTTGGCAGCTTAGGGTTTTTGGCTCATCAAGGATGGCAGTCAACCTATGAAGATTATCGCACATTTGGCTTTGGGGCACCCTGCCACATGTGAAGCACCAGTGCACGGGGCGGAGGGACCGTTTGCAGTGCCGCCCATTCTTAAGTATCTTTCGCCACATCGCCAGCCAACGGTGCTGGTTTCCTACATACACTTGTACCACACTGAGGCATAAAACTGTAAAGAGGTGAGCCGTATGGAGACATCAGCAAGGCAGTTAGAAGCGGACAAGGCTTTTCGAACTGTAATTTGTTCGTGCTGACCGTCGAACCCGCAATACACAGGCGCGCGATTGGCATCCCAGTGGCACGCAAGCCTTTTCACTGCAAAGAACTTACACGGTTGATGTCACAAAGCAATGGCGCTTGAGAGAAAGCAGGCTTGGCGACTTTTCAGCCACGCGGACGTTGGTTCGCTTCCTTGCGGTCTATAGTTTCCTTTCATTTTCCCATCTAACGAGAGGCAACACGACTGCAAGTCAAAGGGTTGTGCCCATAGGTGTCCTTTTTGGCTGTTTTGCTAACAAAATAGATGGCCCTGGTTTGCCTGGTGGTTTAATCATCTACCAGGGCCATCTATTTCCCTTAAAAGGACGCCTATGGGTGTGCCCTTGTCGTTTTGGGACTAAACGCCGCCTGCCCACTGCACTCCACAGGACTCAGCGAGTAGGAGGTGCCGCCGTCAACTTCCGGTGCTCGGAATTTTAAATGGGGAACACCGCCTGAAAATGGGTAGTGGACATGAATCGTGAATGATATTCACCAAAGTGTCTCAAGTCAAAGTCATACCTAGGTTCTCCAAACCATTCCTTTTAAAAGGCCAGGGATAAGGGAAGCGGAAGCACCGTGAAATCTGGGACTGCAGGACGGTGTGGATCATCCTGGCAACAGGTTCATTTGCTCTTCCTCTTGAACTGATCGCGGCTGGGGTAAGAAGTTTGGACACAGGGGTGTAGTTTGTGTGTCGGTTTGTGCGTGTGTGCGCGTTTGTTTGTGAGGGTACCCTGAAGGCAGTTCAATGATACATCAAAAGGAAAACACCAATTTCCAGGGTTGTCCCATAATTTTGACACATGCACGGACGTGTTTAAGCGGCATGCGTGTGAATAGTTCGACCTTGCGGCGGTTTGAAGAGGGTGCTAGCTAGCCCATAATTTTGAATGTGCCAAAAGGCTAACAGGGCATTGGCATTTTTCAAATTGTCATGACCCCTTATTTAGGTTCAAGTGCATGAGGAGGGGCTTTTGCTTCCGCATAGAATCCGGGTTCCACCAACCATTCACCTTGAGAAGCGGTTTAGCCTTTCCATTTGTAGTGCCATTGGTCAGAGAGGCACGGCCAAGGATGTGTCGCTTTTCGCGGTGCTAAGCCCGTAAGGCCTCAGTTGCTGGCAAGTGTCAAGCTTCTTCCTGACGTCCCGTCCATAACAGCTCATCACCCGAGCCCCCCCCTGCACAAGCCAAAAGATTGAACATGTTGCCTGTAGCCAGCCTCTGGCGAACCCCCACGGTGCCAAGTAATTTGGCTTGAGACCTTCGAGTCGGTCTTAACCTCGGTGCAAGCAGAGGTTCAACCTAAGGCTGGCGTCGCGTGTTTTGCCCACGGGGTATGCCTTCTTGACTACCGAGTTGAACTGCGCCCAAATGGGCAGCGCCCAAACTCTTTTTTGTCAGGTGTCCTTTTTGTGGCGGTTTTGAAGGGGAACCAAAAGGAAAACCACAATTTGTTGGAGTCCAAATCCTACTCGCCCATTCGGTGGTTCTTGCGCCTAAGGGCATGGGCTAATCGCCAGGCATGCGGTGGGTGTCTACTTCGGAACCTTCGACCCCATCCACGAGAATCACATTGGCCTTTGCAAGTACGCGCGAAGGCCTCAGTCTTTGCCGAAAGATATGACTAGAAGCTCACACCACAAAGCGAGTCAACCTGTCCACCCTTTTCGTTATGCAGTTCGGCCATATTTAGCCAAGAAAGGCAGACCTTTTTTTGCCAGGCTCCTTGGGCAAGTGCACAATGGCGCGCAAAAGGCGTGATGTCCTTTTGCGGGATATTTTTTGTTCAAGTGAGCAGCCATAATTGCTTGTGCGGTCAAGGGGCAAGTCATTGAGCAATGAATTAGCTCGTAGCCCGCCGAAACAAAGCCTGCGCGATGACATGCTTCAGGCGGGTGAATCCGGTGGTTTTCCTGGCTAAGGCTGACTCAGGGCGTTGTGCAGATGGTGTACCTTGTGGTGAACGGCAGGGACCTCAAAGTGGGTGTTCACATTGAGCCACTCGATTCCGAATTCTCCGTTGTGCTTTTGCCCTTCTTGCGACGATCTCAACTGGTCGCCCCGCGCACGCCCGCCCGCCCGCAAGCGCGCCCCCGCCCGCCCGCCCGCCCGCCCGCCCTGCCGCGACCTGTCCCACCCCGTCGCGCGTCCGCCCCCGCTGCACGGCAGCACGCACGCATCATTTTCTCATGCTCGGCATGCACGCTTGTCGCGGCTTTCAGGCACTGTGCTTAGCATGTTACTTCTCAGTACTAACTTGACTCAGTATGAATCAACCCCTGTCCCTCAGAAACCCCTTTATTGATTTGCCAGCTTGATTGGTCGACAGGGCTCGTGGCTTAGCTGGCCTTGTGCCTCAGGCGACAACCCCATGAAGCCGCTGGCCGCAACCTTGGGCTTCGGGGAGGTTGGTTGAACCTGCCAACATCAGCGAGCGGCCCAATTTAGTGTGACAAGCTGGCCTGCTGGAGCCACGTTTTAGGCCTGTGCCAGCGTCAAGCCTTCGTTCAGGGCTCGTATTTGTAGTCTGGTGAAGGGAGCCATCACTGTATCAAATGGTTGTCCGAATGTAAGAAACCGAAAACGAGTTGGGTCCGCCGAATGCATTTTGCAGATTGCTAACTTTAGCTCGCAACCTTCAGCAGGTGCTGCGTGTAAACTAGGCGCTTCTGGGGAACACTGGTGGCCTTGGGGGGATATGTTCAAAGGAGCTTGTGAATAGCTTTTATTGACGCATCCTTGCATGTATCCCTAGGCTGTCTCATACGAGGAGCGCCGCGCACTCAATTGCAAGCAGAATGCTAATGGTAGGCAGCGGCCTCCAACGGCAGGTCCAGACGCATGGCTGGCACCAGCACTAGGCAGCCCATAGCCACAGACCGAGGCTCAAGGGCTTTTGTTTGTTGAGGCTGTTGGTGACAAGGCGCATTTTCCAGAATTCGCTTGTTTTTCTCTCCAGGGATCCTTCTTTTGCAGGAAATCATTAAACACCCAGGGAAGCAGCTGGACAATCCACCCCTATAATTTCAGTGTACCCTCTGGGGTGTTAGATTTGAGCTCAGGCCTGCGACTTGTGCGACGTCGAGTGGAATTAGAAGTGGATGATCGCATCAGGCGGGATGGCAAGGGACTTGCGCAAGCATTACTTGAGTGTGTTTCTTTTTTGCGGGTACCCTTTTAGGGGTTGGTTTTAAGGGAAACCGCGGTTGCCTGGTGTCCCACCATTTTTTGACACATACCGGCGCAACTTATAACAGGACTTACTCAGGTCTCCAGCGCTCGCTCAGCTAACATGGCGTCTGACAACGGGTCGCTATTGATTTTAACCCTCCAAGCACTACGTGCAAAGTTTCCAGGTTTGAGCAATTGCCGTTCAACAAACAGGTGACTCACTCATTGTTCCATGTCCAGCCGGAGGGATGCAAATTTTGACCGCGTCTCATGTAACTGGGTCAAGAGATGAGGGAATTGGCGAGCCCAGCTGGTTGTGGGATCCCCTTCAAAGACCCCTGTTGAGCCGACTTAAGTTGCGCCGCCGCGCAATGCTCTCCGGAAGTGGGCAGAAGCTCTTTGTTCAATTCCTCTCTGTGTTCATCGTTTTGATCTCTAGAGGCGGGCGGTTAGTGGAGTGGACTCACGAGGTCACCATGGCCTTTTGTTTCAGGGCGTTTGGGACCGGCAGATTGCCAGTTGCCAGGCTGATGGAGCTTTCGGGGGAAGAGGCCGGGCGCATGAGGTGGCACGCGTCTCAGAACGAGCTGATGCGCGGCCACGTGCAGGAGGCTCTAAATCTCTTATGCAACTGTCAATCCCTGAAGTTTGGTTGTTCATCTCCCAGTTCTTGGAAGATTGCAAGCTTTGCACGCCCCATCCTTGCAAAGTGGCGTCATGCTGTTCGACCATGCTCGATTTGTTTCTTTTGGTGTGAGGCTGGACCGCCAGGATATCTGTGAGCGAGCAAGGCGCCGGCGGGCGGGCTGGCAGATGTCTCTCAACCGCGAAAGATCAACACTTGGGTAGATGAAGGGTAGGGATGATCCGAACCAAGAATCGGAGCAGATATCCTGCCTTGTTGTTCTTACATTCACTTAAATACCTGGTTTTGACGTGTTTTGATTGTCACTAACGCGATGCAGGTGTAGCTCAATGTGCTCTAATTATCCCTTATTGCCACACGTTTGGGGTATTGTTCAACTGGGCTCACTTCTGGGCTGGTTTGGGCTGCAAACTTGAGAGGTAGAAAATAGGAGGAGTGGGAAAATTGCACCAAATTTTAATTAAGCAATATTTGACGAATGTTTCTTAGGAACTTGTTTTGCTGAGCAACCCTGGGATGATCCTTCTTTGCCATTATATGGGTCTTTTAATCAGGTTGACCACTTCACCAGCCGGCCAAATATGGGCGGCGCAGTCCAAAGTTCCTGACTGCGGTGCCAGGTACTTGGTTGAGGCTGGAGGCAATGTGCGTGCCCCCAGTTTTCCTCAGAACTCGGTTGGAGGTGGGTGGATAGATGGGTGGGTGGGTCGGTGGCTTACGACTCACTTTGGCCAACTTATCATTGGTGATTTGGGAGTTTGAGCCTTGCATCTTGAACTCACATGAGGGGATAGCTCCCAAGGGACGGGTGTTCACGAACTTTTGCGCCCCCAGTCACCTTCATGTTGCCCGAGTCATTGCCTGAGTGAATGCATGCTTTTTGTGAAGCAACTTTCTGTCAAGTTCCAATTTGGTTGTGAGGAGCACCGCGCGGCTGCATCTCCCATCCTCAGGGTTGGATCAAATCAGGTTTGGCCCATGTTTGCCGCTGTGTCTTCCCCATGTTTCAATGCAGTTATCAGGGAACCAGGAGTTTAGCTCGCTTATGCTGGGGAGAGCTTTGGGCGTCTTTGCGATTTGCCCAGGCCGAGGTGTATCAGCTCCTTGGCCAAGACTCGTTTGAGCAGGCGCGACTCGCGCGACCAGTGAGGTGCAGGGCCCATGTCCACCGCAAAGACAGGGGAAGCCCCGCGTACCACAAGCGCCTGAAAAGAGAAGTCTCCTGGTTGCGCGTTGCCATGCATCTTCCACTTCCGGAAGGACGTTGGGGGCCCTGCCCACCTGAAAGCCGCATAGAACCCTGAACCATCACACGGATGTGTGTTTGTGGATGTGTTGGTTACAACGCTGCGGTCGAAGCGTGAACGGCCGGCTGTCCATGTGGCTGGGGGTCAAAACCAATGGTACCATTTTGGAGTAGGGGCACCACCCATGTTAGAACCTATTTTAGTGGTTGGATTAGGATGTTCACTGGGGGTACAATTTGGATTTTGACCCATGGCCATGTCCGATGCGTATGGCAACACCACAGGTTTCCGGCACTCGCAGGCCGTCGGACGCAGCAGGCCCGGCTCCCAGCGGGGCGGGTCCTATTGCCGTGGCTTTGCGTGCATGTGATCCGGTGTGAGGTCAGTTATATGGTCGTTTTTCGAAATGGTGGACGCCTTTTGGACGGTTTTAAATGTGAAGTACAATGAATCCGATTTTTTTTGGGGGGTCTCCGATTTTTGGTTGGCTCAGCTTGTGGGACCCCTCAATGATTCCGGAGCAAATCAGAAGGGATGGCCTTGTTTGTACCTCTGCAGGCCCAAGGGCAAGGGCAAAGGCAAAGGCATTTTCTCCACCAGTGCGCCCTGCCGAGACCCGGGACGACAATCAGATAGCCAGGGGAAAGGGCAGGACAACCTGACTGGTGTCCTGCATGTGGTTGCCGTTTTTGGCCTCTAGACAGCCGGAAGACAGGTACGCGCTTCTTGGTGTTCCCCCGCGCTGGCAGTGACGAATCTGTACATGCCCTGCCTGCACGATTGGCCGCCTCTGCGTGAAGGGTGACGCCTGCCACTGCTTCATGGTGCCCCAACTTTCGGTGGAGGTGGCCAACATTTAGTTTGCTTGTCGTGTGTCTGCTTGCGGATTGTGGCTTGCGTGCGGGCTTACGAGTGAGAAACGCTCTAAAACCCTTGCATTTGAAAGTAGTATTCGGGATCCATATCGTTTTCAAAACGTTCATTGTTTGTAGGGCGCAAAAGCGCTGCGCAAGTCTCGCGGGAGGAGTTGATCAATAATTATGCACCTGCGAAAGGTTTGTGCAAAGGCCACAATATTCAAGGTCTGTTTTTTGCATGCATGAGTCTAAACAAAGCTTAGGCAGGTGGTTTGGTATGGTGCAGGTGACAAAACTCACGAACAAACACTTACAATCTTGATTACAATCTTGAGCGAGGCAGGTATGCCATGAGCTTTGAACTAAAGGCCCATGCTTGCTTAGAACAACGGCAATGAACCTTTGGGATCCCTGCTTGAAAACGTGGTTTTTACACGAGACCATGCCAACTGCAGGGGGTATGAAGTCCGTGAAAGATGGGGGGGGGGACAGTGCAACCGCGATGAAGCGAAAACAAAGTTTAAACTGGCCATTTCTCAGTTCGCCAATCCGCAAAAACGCCGCAGAAGCGATTTCTTCATCGAAACCACCCGCGAAAGGAACCGTTCATGCCGGGAAAGCTCAGCGGAAGCCTTCGCAAAAGGGATTTGATATTTCTCTTCGGGCGCAACTTTGTTTAGAACACTGCTCAAGTGTTGGCATGTGTTGGCTGTTGGGTCCTTTGTGCCTTGGCATTGCTATGGGGGGAGATAGCCGGTTTTCGGCCCGACCATGGTCGGCCCCCCAACCAAACGGCACCAGAAGGTCACCTGAAGGCATACCACACTCGCGACCAGTTTTTGTTTGAAGAAGAGTGCTTTATTTGCTGCGTGGCTTTTCTCATGGCCACACAAGCAGTACCATCATTTTTCTCATTTCAAGTTCCATTCAGCCACAACTCCCGGGTTGGCTCCGTGCCCCAGTTCACATGGTCACACACAACTTATATAGTGGGTTTCAGATCCGAAGCAAAGCGCCGCCAGATACCACCCGACATGCGACGGCGAGTTGCAGTGGTCAAGGAGAGCTGCAGCGTTTGGCTAAATGTTTGGGTTGACTGTGTTCGGCATTTCCGTGCAGCCCCACTGGGGGCAGATTGATGAACGATCATACTTCACCCAGATCCAGGCTAGTTGAGAGGTTGTCAAACAACGGGCGCCTGGCTTCACCTTCAAACCGGGACAGCCGCCCATTGGCTGTGAATCCGGCAGGACTATGTTGACCCCGTGACTCTGTCGTCCACGCAGATCCGCGGTGGACTCAGGAAGAGCGTGTTTTTTGTTGTTTTCGTTTTTTGTACTTTCCGGGTGCGCCCAGCAAAAGCAATGCCATTCAAAGACTTGTTGCGACCTGCTACCTTGTGGCTTTATGCATCCAAGCACCTGCGGGCGTGAAGGTTCCCACCACTTATCCTAGCGAACAAGTTTTGCAGGGAGCGGGAATGTTTTGGGAGAAGGAGAAGGGGAGACCTGGGGGATATAATTTACAGCTAACCAAAACTTTGAAAGGACACCTGTGTTTGACCCATGTCCGGGCAAATGCTGTTTAAGCTACCACCCCCTGGTGCCCGCGATTGTTTAAACAAAGGCCGCTGCACAATGTTCAAACAAGTGGTTGGCCTGACGCTACCCTGGGACCCAAGACTAGTGAGGGTGTTAGACCCCAAGACCTGGTTTTCAGGGCTGACCAGTCATCGTCTCCCATCAGAGGTGCGGCTGCTGCAGAGGGCCATGACCTGCAGGGCTCCGTGCACCCGGGGCCTGGAACGCACAGGGGGGGGAGGAGAGGAGTGGGTGGCAGTGGGGTGAAAGAGGCCCGGGGTTTGGGTTTCGAAAGGAGGGACATCAACTTGCAGAAGGGCCGAGTTTTTGACAAGGCCGCAGATTGCTGAGCCCGGGGGGCAGACACGGGCGTTGAGGGCAATGCCCTTGACCAGCGTCACTCATGCTGCAGCCTTCTTAGTTGCACCTTGGGACCATGTCGTGCCGAACATGGGTGGGATCGGAGCCCTGTAGCCGCGGCATTCCGGCGAACAAACCTTGGCCTTGCAGCCAGCTCCAAACTGCTGACAAGTACAGACCCTGCAAATTAACATAGAACCCAACCAACAAGCATGTATGAATGTATGGAGGAACCTTCTTTTGGGGAGCTCCTTTCTTTTGGGCTCCATGTGAATTTATAGGGAGGTAGCTAACCAGGGGACGGCCACATTGAAGCTCAAGAGTTTGCTGCCCTGTCCAGCCCTTTGCGGCCCGTCCGTGCTGGTTCCTGAGGATCCTCGAGGATGTGATTGCCACGTACACGCTGCAGAGCCCAGTGGCTGCAGCACCTGGTTCTATGTCTGGATGTGGCCGAAGCCAAAAGCTTGGATTGCGCAAGAGTCTCTTGGTGGGGTTCCTGGACAACGACCCGGCGTTCTAGAGAGATGTTTCTGGTTTGCAGTCCTTGGACAGCCCCATCCCCCCGCCACCTCCCCCCCCCCCTGGTGCCGGGGCGTTTCCTGACCCTTCGTGTAAGTTGTCTCGCAAGAGTTGGAATCTTAGATACTTGGCATGGCATGTTTCCAGATCAGAACCCCCCCAAAAGCATAACACGCTCATTATTATTCCAGAGGAGTGTTGGCTGCCACTCTACGCCATGCAGTATAGCCAATGTGGTCCATTGATATTTCAGGCAATGACTCGAAGCTGCTTGTGGAGAAAAAGCAAAGTTCAGGTCTTGGCGTGAAATGGCGCAGCCCGCAGGCTGAAGACGGCCTCATTCATGAAACATAGTTCTTGGGAATCCGTGTGAACTTCTGTTTGGCTACCTACCTAGCCGGAAACAGCTACTTGAACAACAAGTTCCTCCAACGCTTCCATGCCTGAGGCGCACGCGCCGCTTCCTTGTGCTCCTCTTCGGCCCTCCGGGGTCTGGAAAGACGGCTCGGGGGTCGGGGCAAGGGTGGCCAGCGAGTCGAGTCGGCTGGCCGGGGCTGGTGGCATGGTCCGAACAAAGGAGCGAGAAAGCTATCGGCACGGCCAAGTGTTGGAAAGCGTTGGGAAAAGGGCTGGCGGCATGGCACATTCCAGTGACCGTAGGTGTCCTTTTTTAGGTTTGGTTAGAAATAGATGGCACTGGTTTCGATGGGTTTTACTCCATTTGCCAGGGCCATCCATTTTTCCAGAAGGCCACCAATGCCAGTGACCCGTTTCAGAACTCTCGGCCGAGCGTTGGAGTTGTTGAAGCATTTTTTTTGGCGCGCTGTGGGCCTGGGGCGCTTGAGTGGCTAGTTTCCAACCAAGTTGTGCACAAATCAGCTGGTTCACTGGCTGCGTTGGCGCTGGGGCCTTTGTGCTTCAATCTTGCGAGCTAGCAATTCTTTGTGCGGCCTTTGTCTTTGCCATTCAGCACAATCCTGGCTGGCCGTGAATAGGGCCATCCGGCAAGCCCAAAGATTCCACTGCACCCTACCGAAACAAGTTGCCAGTTTATTTCCGTGCCAGGCTATTTGTTAGGGTTGCGGACAGGATGTCAAAGCCAAGCTTCTGGATGATGAGTTGGTTTGGAGGCTTCTTCAGAATGCCTCACAGTTTGCAAGCTTGCGCACTTTAAAATAGCTAACTCGCTTATGTGGTGCAACCGAGCACCGTTTGGAAATACCTTTGCTCGCGGGGGGTACTGCTTGTGGCTACCTCTGCATAAGATGACCCAACCTCTTTCAGGTGCTCCTAGGCAGGTTGGGAATGCTTTACCAGACCCAACCAGCTTGAATTATTTTTTCGAGCTGTTTAATGAAACAGCCGCCCAGAATCCATTGCGGCTCACTCACGAGGACGGCTTTGGGTCGCGAGCCCGGCGTCTCGGTTGGCCCAGGTGGAGTGTCCCAGACTTGGCGCTTGCTTGGGGTTGGAATCAGCCCTTTGACCTCCGGGAATTTTGTCGACTTTGGGGTTGGTAGGGAGGGTCAACCCGCCATTAGGCAACTCAGGCCTTGTGAGGAAGCCGTGGCCATGATCAATGTGGATCGGGTTTGACCCAAAATCCATCAACTTGACATGTATTGGTCAGAGCGACCTTGATCTCCGACCCTTTGGTTTGCTTGAATTATTCTTCATCCTGCTCCCCAGGCAAATGGTCACGCTTTCAAAGCAACCCCTTTAAAAGGGCCCTCAACCAAAAGAGACACATTTGCATACATGCTTTTGCATGAGTACATAAAGCACATGTAGTTGACGGTAATGATTATTTTAACAGAGTTGCGGGAGGGAAGACTGGTGCCAGTTTGACATTCACGCTTCTCATGCATGTCAGCCAATCAATCACTGAAAAGCTGTCATACGGCCTGCATTCAGGGATGCAACCAGAGCGGAGCCCGCGAGGCTGGAGAGAGCTTTCGGCTTCTACCACATCTCCGGAGGAGCCAGCGACCTGTCTTGTTCTTGTCAGAGGGCGGCTGGTCTGATTTTGGACTTGGCTGCTCATAAGTTCTGGAGAGCCAGCCCTCTGCAAGTGGTGATGTGTTGTCCATCAGCATGAACCATATGCATTTGCTGGCGGGCGTGAAGGACCTGCTCCAATAGGTTGCATCTGCTAAAAACAAAATGTGGTCGAACCAAGGGTGAAATTTGGTTTGGCTCTGAGGATGGAGACTGGCTCATGTCCTTTGCGACTTCCCACCTTTATTGGTGCAATGTGCTCCTTTTGGGCAATGTGGCGTTTAGGGGGGGGCCAACCACGAACCGAAGAAAGCTGACTTTCTCTAAGAAAATTGTGTCGCAGATCCTTCAAGCTTCGGGGGTTCCATGTCTATGTGGTTGAGCCGCCTACACCGCGAGGGGACGCCTACCGCGCCGCCAAGTCTCGCGGTCTCTTTGGAGCGTGCCCTGAAAGGCTGAAGGGCTGAAGGGCATGGCTTGTTGCCCAAGCCTCCCATCTTGGACATGGTGATGATGATGACGATGATGATGATTATAATTATAATGATGGTCATGATGGTCATGATGGTCATGATGGTCATGATGACCATGGCAACAATCATATGATTTTGATGGTCCTGATGACCATGGTGTTCTTGATGAACTTGATGCCCAGCAACTTATCTCATGGCAGGCACAAGAAAGATGCTGACGCAGAAGTTGTCAATATCGACAATCTTGAGCGTAGCGCGGTCCCTTTCCACACCTGTTTAGGCATGTCTGCCATGGTCATGAGTGAGCATGCGCAAGAACAAACTGCCAGGATCAGGCTGCAACTCCAAGCATCCCAGCCAGCGATGCAGTCTTTCTTTCGGCTTTGTGTGCTCAGCAGATTCAACTCAGAACTCCGTCCGAAGGGTTGCCAGCGGGGAGGTACCGAGAGGATGACCGCAAGCAGACGGTCGCCAAAGTGTTGACGCCTCAGGGGTTGAGCCATGCCAATTAGGACTGCTTGTCCTGCTGCTTGGGAGCCATGTTCAGGCTGGTAGGCTCCGGAAGGGTAGAGTGGCTGTGGCTCGTGATTGCTGGTATCTGTTTGGGCTTGTATAGTCAATCCTTAAGCAGGGTCTTCTAAACGGAGTGAAGCGATGCCAAACTCCTGCGCTTCCAAGAGACCTTGCTAATTTCGGATCGGGAAAGGAGGATAGGAGAAGAACGGTATAGAATGTCCAACGAGAACTGGGCATCGGTTCAGATATGTCATCCCTTACCTCATGGCTGTCCAGCAGGGGCAGTGCACAACGAGCCCTTCCCAGGTTTGCCGCGGTGGCTCGTGCGGCTGCGGTGCTCGCGCCGGCACCGGCTCCTTTGCTTTGTTCGAGTTCGCGGACCTTTCAGGGATTTGGGGCAGAGCACGCATAGACGGATGTGTCTCTAAATGAGGGAGCTGCCAACATAGTACCGAACCCGTCTTTGGACTATCTTTTCAACCGCCTCAAATGGGTACCCTCAAACAATGCGCACCCACAACTTGCTTCCAACCAACGAAGCGAACAATGGGAATGCATTTGTTCTGCTAATTCCGGGCCTTTTGTGTGTGCAAACCAAAGGGGGCGTTCTAGGGACTGCCGTGTGTTCATGCCCCTTGTCAAGCTATCTTGGGACTTTCAACCCTTTTCACCGACTGATTTGCGGGCATTGTCATTCAGCTGGTGGTCGCTTGCTCCTTTCAATGATGCCCGTTGTGTTCTGCACCGGGCCCAGGTCTCCTTTGATGGCTTCCTCCCGAAGGAGCTGTTTGCGCTTGGTGACGCGCTGTTCTACCTGAGTTCAGCTCGCCTTCTGGCCTTCCAATGTTCCGAGGCTTTCTACGGAAACACGGTAGAGTCAGCACATGAATGGGGCCCAACGCATATTAACAATGCATTTGCGCGCATATTGTGAGTCCCAAGTACGGCATTTGCATGATTCAACCACCAACTGCGTGCAACATACCATGCCATGATCTGTGTGTGTGTGTGTGTTTTGCTCTCTTAAGCGATTGTTGACATTGAACCTCTGCAAGCCAAGTAGCTTGCCGCGTTCGTTGTCTGCTCGAAATGCCTCCAGACTACCACAATGGGCAGCGTGCATGTGCGTATTTGTTTGTAATCGTGAGTGTGTGTGTGTGTGTGTGCATGCGTTTATTCGCACATGCATGCTCGTGCGTGGGCGGGGGGCCAACGTGCGTTCATGCGTGCTTGTGCATATTTGCATGTCCATGTATGTGTGTGTGTGTGTGTGGGTCGGTGGGTGGGCGGGCGGCGGCGGGCGGGCATGCATGCGCGCATGCGTCTCTGCACGCGTACGCCTTCGGGTATTTCTCTGTTGTTCTTACTGCTCACTTGTTTTTTCGGTGGCTTGCATGCTTGCTTCTTTGCTTCGTGATTTTCTTTGTCCTTTGCGTGTTGTTGTGTTTCCTGGTCCGTTTTGTGGGAGTTTGATTCTTTCATTTTTCCTATGCGTGCCTTGCCAGGCTTTGGGTGCAAACTCCGAAGCTTCCGCGGCACTTCTCTCGGTCCCTCGCGGTGGCGCAGGGGGTTTGTTTCCGGTGGACTATGGGACATCAACCGCGCCTCTGAAGTACGCGATAGTACGCGTGTTGCGCGCAGCTTCGTTCCCAGCGAGAAGCTATCATGCTTGTCCCGTAGCCATTAATTCGCTGGAGCCTGGTTCGTCAGGAGCTTCCAGACTTCGAGGCCAAGGCAGGTTTCGTCTTGTGCTTCTCCTGCGGAGCTCCTCATCCAAAGTCTACCGCCGGGAGCGCAGTTGTGGTGTCAAGTGGATGCTGTTGCAAAGGTAAACTACAGGGAAGCCGTAAGTTTCAGGGGTGTGCCCAAACAAGATGCATCCCTCAGTGCTTGCTCGCGGTGCAGGTAGGCACCCCTGGCCTCATCATCAAGCTGGATTGCCCGGCGGAGGCCAGTCGGGATGTTCTTCTGTTTGGATGTGGGTGGGTATCCTTTTGGGCTCGTTTAAACATGAAAATTACTGTCAAACTTATTCTGTGGGTGGATCCTTTGAAGACAGGCCGACATCGATATGTTGGCATTGCGATGCATCCGCATGACCATTCATTTTCAGGTACCAGGTCGGTCCCTTCCGGAATTGTTGCTGTTGGATGATGCCCTGACAGCTCAAGCCCACTGCTTGCACGGGAGTGCAAGCCCAGCAGTTTTATACTCACTTCACTGGACTTTAAGCTTTCTAGGGTTGAACCGTTTGTAGGGGTAAATTATATACCCCTAAAATGGTTCAACCCTATAATACAAAGTGAGCACAGCTCGTTGCCAAAGCAAGATTCACACATTGTGGCCACTCACAACTTTTCAGTTGCTGTCCCAAGCGCACTCAGTTGCTTCTACAAGCGCACTGCTAAAACTGATTCGTCACTCTTTTAGTCCGGACGCGGCTCCCCGCCCAGGAGTTTGAACTTTGAACAGCGAATTCCACAGACTGCCCAGCATGCGACTTTCACAAGAAGGTGGACATTCCTGGGCAAAGGGGACAAAGGACCATTTCTAAGGGCCCCTTTTTCAATTTTGGTGTGCTAATTGAATTCTTGAGGTAGCCATACTGCAGTATAAGGGGTATGTATATGTAGTTCACCATTTGCCTGTTCTCACATGCTTGGCCGAGCATGTTCTGGATTCCACCAGCCACTCTCAGCCTGCAACCTTATTTTTCACACTTTGGAATTCACCCAGATTTGTTCAAGCTTGTTTGTCGATTTGCTTGCCAGCTGGCTGGCTATCTGGCTTGCTTGTTGGCTTGCTTGCTGGCTTGCTTTATAGACCAGACATTGGGGTTAGTGGTGACTTGAACAGCGGGGGAGGGCCTTTGCTTGCAGGTCCCCAAGATGGCTACTCATGCTACTCTAATCGCTTGAGGCAGCGGCTTGGCTCCACATTGGCATTTGGCTGACGAGGTTGCCACGTTTAGGGGCGGTTCGATTGAGCAGGGAATGTCTAGGGATTGAACCCGCAGGATCAGCATCGATCGTGGGAGGGGGAGCTCGGGACTCCTCACGCGCGGACAGGTGCTGCAGCAACGACTTCAAGAGCGAGGGCAGCGCGAGCATGATGCTGCTTGGC